TGGCGCGAGCCGCAATCAGCTGCGCCCAAAGCAGGTTGAGACTGAGGAGGTTGGCAGTGGAAGCGAGGTTGCTGCAAGCGATCCGCCGACTGAAAACGAAGATGTGATTGACAATCCGCGTGACATTGCACCGGCACCGTCCTCTGTGAGACTGCCGGGTGAGTCGGCATCAGCCACCCCAGTGGAAGTGGCTGCACGTGAGCCTTCTCAGCCTTCCCGACTGCCACAGCATTCACCGCCTCCTGCAAGTGTGCTGGTCACGAATGATGCCCATCCTTCACCAACCCTGGTCCCTAATCCTAGTTTGGGTTTAGGCCTCGGCCCCGGTCTGCCGACCACACCTGATGAAGGTTATGGTGTTGGGGATGTGATTAGGGGTGAAGACGGTGATGATGTCATGGATGAAACGACATTAGTCGCCGAGCTGCCCGCTGAGCACAATGTCGAGACTGAGGCCAAACGTCGCAGGATTCAGGCTGTGAAAGCGCATCACCACAGTGACGAGGTAGTTTGCCTTGAGGACCTCGAGCTTGGATCCAATGCTGACTTCGATGAATCAGTCGAGGACCTACCGTGTCAGTCTTCAGTTGCAAACTTTGAAGATCCCGGCAATATCCCCAGTGAGCTGTGGAGACCATCTGGAACCGGAGAGCCGCAGCTTGATAGTGACGAGTTGGCCAGTGTTGATGGCATCGCGGAGGCCTTCGAGCTTTCACGCCTGGAGGCCATGGGTGTTCTTGAGCGTTCGCCAGTCGGTGCCGATCTTACTGGGTTCAAGCGCCTCAGCACAAAGATGGTTAAGAGTTGGCGCGTCAAGCCGTGCCCGAGCGGCCAGGGTGAAGCGTTTCTTCGACGAGCGCGGTTCGTCGCCAGGGAGTTTCGCTGGTTGAGTAACATGATTGACAGTGATGTGTTTGCTCCAGCTTCATCGAACGCCCTCTTACGTGTGCTCCCCGCAGTGCTCGTTGCCCGCCAGCCCCAAGACTGGATAGCGCTTTCCTTGGATGTTGCAGATGCATATCTCACAGTTTGCCAATCTGTGGATACTGTAGTTTCTATCTGGGTCCAGGGGGAACAGCGCATCTACAAGCTTCTTCGAAACTTTATGGGCAGAGAGCAGGAGCCAAAGACTGGTTCGAGTCTTTCCAGTCATATCTGATCGAAAAGCTGT